AAATTTGGGAACCTCTGCAGTCTAGCCCACCTCTTCATTTTGTAAGTGAGGAAATGGAGGATCAGAGAGGTTAACCATTCTGCTCAGAAGTGGCAGAGCTAGGATTTGCATTTAGAAGACTTTCTGTCAGTGGCTAGGATGATAGCAAGAGCTGACACTTAGGGAGCCACTGGTTAGGCGTTCTCACTGACAAGGAAGGAGGCTTGGAGCATAGGCTACAGATCAGTTCCCCTCTGTTCTGGGAAGTTGTTATGAGCTATAATGAACCTGACAGCACCCCACAGCCTACATGGGGCTTCGAGAGTATTCTGCCAGCACCAAGTGCTCGCTCATGACGACTTGTCATTCTCTGCAGATAGAGACACTGATCGCCGCCCAGGGACCGTCTGTGACTTGCCATCCTTAAGCACAGCAGCTACATACATACATGGTGAAGGTGGGCCACAAACTCACTGGACCGAGGCCTGCCACCTTAACTGCTCTTCTCTACTATGTGTCCGGAAGGCCCGTGATGCAACAGTCTGCAGAGCGGCTGTGCCAGATGTGGACAGCTGACCCCAGATCGCGGTGAACCTGCTGCTCAGCCAGCACCAACTTGGCTCACCCTCTGCTCTCTCTCAACACCATTCTAGATCACGGCTCCCAAACTTAATTGGCCTGCTACACCCCGTTTCAGAAAAACAAACAAGCAAGACTACTTATGCCCCCCACCCTGCATGAGAAATATTTGCAGCCCCCATCCCCCCATTGTTCCAGCATCCCCACTTGGGGAAACTCTGATCTGCATCATGGCTGCCCCAAAATAACCTGGGCGTCATCCTGATCAGGTAGATGTAGGTAGTGTGAAACCAGACATCACTGCATGCTGTGGAAATGACTTCTTAGGGTACTTCAGTATGGGAGTCAGCCAGCAGGTGTGGGGAGTGTCTTACAGTGATGTCATCAAAGCCCTTTCTTGACAGCAGTGGGAATCTGGATCTTGAGGTGACATGAGATGATTTAGCCTGGATCTGGGCTAGAGATCGTTCACAAATGTCCACTCATAAGTTAGGTTCCCATTTGAGTTTCTTTACATATTGTTGATTGACATGAGTTATAGTTTTTCCCCAGTGAATGAGCATCTGTTTACTTGTGTTCTAGTGGCTTCATTTCCAGTGCTCTGGTTTCGTGGTCCCCTGGATTCTTTGGTCTCATATAGATGTTCTCCCTGCTCCCCGCTCCCAAAGTAGCACCGTAACTCCATGCACACTGAAACACGAGCTGGACCTGATGCCAGCGTGGTGGAAGTAGCTCTTTGGATGGTGGACTTTATGGGAATCAAAGGCAAACGGATGGCACCTGTCACCCAGTGTTGTGGAACCCATGAAAAATAAGGAACTGGTTGTTCGTGCAGCATCTGCCTACACCTGTTCTTAGCTGTGCTGCGTGTTGTCCAGTGTGGGGCCAGCCATCTGGCCTCTTTTGCCGTCTTCAGTGATAGGGGTTGGCAGGCCTCGGATTGTGCAGACCCAGAGGAGGGAAACTAGGAGTCTAGCTCACTGCTAGACAGTTACTGCCCTTGACTCTTAACCAAAAGGTTGTCAGTTTGAGACCATCCAGAGGTACCTTGGGAGAAAGCCGGTGATCTCTTTAAAAGCTTGTCATCGAAAACAATGAGTACAACTCTACGCTGAGATACATGGGGTGAATGAATCATTTCTTTAATAGGATCAGGACAAAGCTGGTTTCTATGAAGTAGAAGTTAGAAATATCCCCAAATCCCAATTTTTCCAAAATGTTATACCACTCCATCATCCCTGGTATCAACTCCTCCTCTCAGTATTCCCTCACAGATTCAAGCACCACCATGGAAGTGACATGTGATTTTGAAGGCTGGCAAGTTCCAAATGTGTAGGGCAGACATCCGTCTGGAGAATTCTTGTCCCTCATGCAGTTGTAGAGACTGGTCAACCAAGCCAACAGGTCAGATGACAGACTGCCATGCATAAGGCTGTGGAAGCTGACACATCAGGTCAGACGATCAGTTGCTGGCTCAAGTCCCAAGACCCAGAGGTCAGATGGAGGATCCAGAGGAAGAGGGTGAACTTGGCCTAAGCATTACTGTGGTTTTCCTAGTGTCCCCTGGCATGGCTCTGGAGATGCAAAATGGCCAAAAGAAAGAATCCCTTACTTGGTTGGCCAAGTAAAGGAGCACAACACCAGCAGTCACGTCACTGGGACAGCTCACTGAGTCCTGGGCCAGGTGTTTGTTTTTTAAAATTAGCGTCTTCTAGGGCAGTCACTGGCATCTGGCTGGTCTTTGGGATGATTCAGCACCAGAGCAATTCTTCTGTGCATCTGCAGTAAGAAAGGATGTCTGAACGATGGTGTTTTGCCCAGGTTCGGGGTGTTGATGGAGGTGTGTTTTCAGCCCCATGATGTCAAAAGGTCAGGTCGAGGACGCATTGGTCATTTCTTTATGTTAGACAGGCCAGGTCTGGCCTCAGCCAGATCCTCCACCCCAGCCTTTTGTTTTACTTAATTAAGCAGGAAGCTGGCGGTTTGCCTAATAAGGGAACAGCTCAGAGCAGGAAGTTCTCGTTTTAACACAGATATCAAAGATGGTGGCCACTTTGTGGGTCTCAAAAGCATTGCTATATATCGGATACAGTGCACCCCCCCCCCCCCCCAAGGAAACTAAGGGTGGTGACTTGAGGCTTCACTCACGCTACTCCTGCCTCGCTAACAGAACAGACAGCTCACTCCCCAATGGCCCTAGAACCAGACAGACCTCCAGAAATACATCACAAAATGAAGGACTGTGCCCTGATAGGCCAGGTGTAGTGGTAGTGCACTGTCCCCCTTGGGGGTCACCGTGAGCTGTGCTGGGCTTGATGAGAGCCAGCTGGGTTTTCGGTTTTGTTTTGGTCGTGGCTCCTTATTTGCAGTCAGTTCTCTATGCTTACTCCTACATCCCCGTCGATAGACACTCCACGTCTCTACCTTCTCTTCTGAACTTCTGGGGGATCACGGCTCCCTCCTGGGACACTGGAACACAGGCGCACGTGCATGAGCCAGCTACACGCACATGTTAGCATTCCTTCTTCCAAAGTGTCGCCGTCATGTCCGTTCTCATGTAAGCTTCCTGCTCTCCTGGATTTGTTTCTCCTTGCTTTTCTCCTTTACTGCCGTTTTATCAGGGGCGAGTGAAGAGAAATGCCACTCACATTTCTCTCGTAAGTTACCACTTGACGTCCTCTGCTTAATTCTCTAATGGGGTTTCCACCTTAGGACTGTATACGAAGGCTGCTCACCCTGACATATGGTGCCATCCCATTTCCTTCTGGCCCACTGGTTCTCCGCACACGTGTTGGAAGATGCTGGAGGGAGTGAGTGCATGCAGATGGTTGTGGAGGGAAGTGCGTACTGAGAGCTGCTGGCTGGGGATGGACCGTTTTGTAAGCTTGTGCTTTTCCTCTTGGTTTTTACCACCTCGGGGAAGCTGTCTTGTGGAATTCCGCTCGAGAAGCGTGCATACCGTTCCACAAACAAAGGAGACTGGCAAAATATATAAGGCTTGTCATGTGCCATCTTCTCCACCAAGCATTCCAAGTGGATGGTCCTTGTAGGCAGCTGGAAAGGCCGGCGGCAGCTGAGCTAAACAGACAGATGCTCAGCTGCCTGCCAGGGTCTGCTGCCTCAGCCCAGCCAGATGCCCCAGGAGTTGGAGCGGGGCCACTTTTGCACATGCCTTGGCATGGATAGAAGCGGTGGTCTGGCAGGAGAGGAGAGAAGACTTTCCTTCTGGGTAATGGGGAGTCCAGACCCACCAGGATGTGACTCCGAGGGGAGGAATTAGCACCCACCATCGGGCACAAACAGGCAAGTGTTGGCCTCCCTGTCTTTGTGGGCCATCACGATGACTGGTTTTGAGCTGAGTTGCCAAAGTTTGTCTGTGCTCCAGTTTCATTCCCCTTTTGGTTTGCTCCTAGCTCCTGTCTCCTCCCTAGTAGGATAGTGCCCATGGGAAAGTCACATTGCCCGGGGTTGGGCGAGGAACCTCGGTTGGGTGGGTCTGGAGAGCCTACATCTCGGAACTTTCAGTGTGCAGGCACAAAACAGTTGTAGTGACCACTGTCACCCCGCTTCCTCCAGTCCTGGTTTACTGGGGGAGGGGAGGGCTTGGGGGTCAGCCATCTGGATTCTTTTGCCGCCCCCCCCCCTTTTGCCCAGCTACCTGGCATCTTCGCTGCTTCCTATCTAACCCTTGCAATTTGTCACTGCTGCCAAGCAGATTATCATCCCAAATTTTCCTCCTACTACATCACTTGCTCTTTAAATACTTACTTGCTCCTCTTTCCCAAGACCTGGCTCTTGACCTATTCGGCTGCCTGTCTCCGCTCAGATGGATTTTTCCTGTTTCTGGCTTGGTCGCGTGCAGCAGTACCAGGCTGCTTGGCCCCCAGTTGATTCCCTCCCTGCGTCTGTTAATGACTAGAAAGCTCTGGACAAGAACAGCTGCCTGGGGCTCCCGAGCTTGTCCCCTCACCGCGTCCTTGGTCCTGTGGCTGTGCCCTGGTGTGCACGCGCAGAGGGCTGGCGTTGGGGGAAAGCTCTTTAAGCAGCGAACAGCCTGAGGAAAAAGCCACAGGAACCTAACTTGGTCTGTAGCATTTTTTCAGATCGGATAACTTCACGCTGGGGTTTTCTTATCTTTAAAACCAGGGGGTTGGAGCGAGTTTCAGTTCCCACCCAGCCTGAAAGGCTAATTTGTCTTCCTTCTTCCCCTGATCATTCTCCTGACATGAAAAAAACAAATGGGCTGCTTCTGGGTCCTGAATTAGGCTCCCCCCACCCTGCATTTGTTGTAATTCTTTCACTGGTGTATGTTGCCGCTCCTCCCGGGTACGGGCAGCTAGAGGGAACGTGGGTTTGAAGTGAGCAGAATGCCTGGCCGTCCTGAGGCCCCTTCTGTGCTCGCCCTCCACTTATGCTAACTTCATCCCACCCTTCCCCTGCAGGCACCATGAGGCGCGTGGTACGGCAGAGCAAGTTTCGGCACGTCTTTGGGCAAGCGGTGAAAAATGACCAGTGTTACGATGACATCCGGGTCTCCCGAGTGACCTGGGATAGTTCCTTCTGCGCGGTCAACCCCCGATTTGTTGCCATCATCATCGAGGCGAGTGGGGGAGGAGCCTTCCTCGTACTTCCTCTGCACAAGGTAAGTGACCTTGCCTTCCGGTCTCCAGAAGATGGACTGTCCACTCAGGACTGCCTGTTGGCTGGTGGGATCCAACGCTGATGGCTGGTCTCGGAGGCTGCGTGCTCTGGACCTCGCAGAGGAGCATCAGACAGAATGGCGGCCTCTGTGCTGGGTGGGCTGAGGGGGAAGAATGTTGCGGAGTGATGATGTCAGCGTGGGCTGGACAGGGACATTAGGATTTGGTTAGTAACCGTCACAAGTTTTTCCTGTGTCAAGCAGCATTTGAAAACAATTACCGATCCTGGACTGGGCTCCCTATGTTTTCAAATGGATAAAACGATGTGTTTCTTTTTCAGTGGGCTGTTGTTAGATGTTGAGTCAGTGCCGACTCACAGCAACCCCTTGCCCTGCAGAGTGAAACACCACCTGGTCCCGTGCCATCCTCACAGTTGTGATGTTTGAGCCCATTGTTGCGGCCACTGTGTCCATCCATCTTGTTGAGGGCCTTCCTCTTCTTCACTGACCAAGCAGGATGTCCTTGTCCAGGGTCTGCTCTTTCCTGATAACATGTCGAAAGTGCATGCGACGACGTGTCCTCATTCTTGCCTCTTAATTATTTAATCCTCAAAGTAACATCCTTGCTTTTCAATACTTTAAAGAGGTCTTTTGCAGCAGATTACCCAATGCAGTATGTCGTTTGGTCTCTTGACTGCTGCTTCTATGAACATTGATTGTGATCCCAGCAAGGTGAAATTCTTGACAAATAATGTCCTCTTTGGGGTTTTTTTTGGCCAAGTCGTGGGGACTGAGACTTAATGGGTTTTTTGAATGGCAACTGGGATAATAACTCAAACAAATGTTCTGGAACAATACAGACTTCCAGGCTGGACAGTGATACGCCGTAGCATCAGATTCACATGGCTGT